ATTTATCAGACACCAAAAGTTTCGGCCACAGAAACATATCGGCCGAAAGTGCAATTTTTTGGCCAAAATAGCAGTGCATCCCTGCTTTCTCTCCTCCCCGCTGTGCCCAGAGAAACTGTCACAGGAGGCCGAGGGGTGCGGGAGAAGGAGTGCGCTGTGAGCGTCCGGTGTCTCTCCTCCCTGCTCTCATTGCTGTCACAGGAGGCTGAGCTCTCCTCCCGCACCGCTCGCTCAGCCTCCTGTGTCAGCTGTCAGGAAGAAGAACGGGTACAAACACTCAGTGATCGCTGAGTGTTTGTAAATAATGGAGGACAGAGAATGTTTACTGTGTCCCCAATTATGAATGAATGGGAAGTGATCTACATCACCTCCTGTTCATTCATAGTTGTGGTTATAGTAAACATTCTCTGTTCTCATGTTATGAATGAACAGGAACACTCATAGAGGATTCCTGATCATTGATAACAGGGGCTGCAGAAAGAGAGATTGAGGACTCTCAGTCCTCAATCTCTTTTTCTATTTTAAAAGGGAAAAATCAGGGGTCTGTTTATACCCCTAATATTTCCCCGGAGCCCCTAAAATAAAGTAAAAAATATTTAATGAAAATAAATAAATAAAATATAAAAAAATTAAAAAGGTTATAACAAATAAAGAAAAATAAAATATTTAAAAACATTTGAAGAAGTTGGAAAAAAAAACATTTTCGGTTTCGACATGACATTTTTTTTAATTTCGGTTTCGTTTTTGAAATTTTCATTTCGGTGCACCTCTAATTAACATTGTGTATAATGCTCACTGAGCAAATTTCGCTGAGCAAATTTCATCCAGTCCTTTTTAAAGCGTCCAAAATGTGCTCAGTCGGTGGCCCTGTCTGCTGCCTCCCACCTGACACCCGTCTATTGACAGATTGAAGGAGCCAGGTGGAAAATTGTGGAATGAACAGCGCCTGCTTCATCCAATCAGATGCAGACTCTATTCAGGTACTTTGACAGCTGCTGGGGCCAACTGTCATAACACAATAGCCACAGCAGGAGACTCCGCTATCCATGCTTTTTTAGAGTGGATGGGCGAATCTTTTAGATCTTTATTGCTTCAGCCCGAAAGCTGAATAAGAAAATCTAATATGCAGAATACACCGATTGCAATGCTTCTTACTTCTTTTCTCTGCTGGTGTTTGCCGAACAATAAGTTGACAGAATCCATAAATGGCAGTAGCAGAAGAAAATGATAGCAAAAAAAGGAGACTGTCAAGAAAGAAATATTGGGGCTGCCTGTGCAGACTTGCTTTAAAAGTACAAGTTCCCGGGCTGTCATCATTGACGATGTATATAGATGTTGGGACAGCTGATATGTATATTCTTATACCAGGCCAGTGACTCAGTGAAGGAAAAGAATGACAGCCCTGAAGCTCGCACCATTGAAAACCCAGCCGTGGTACTGTATATCTATCGTAACTGATTCTCTTTAAAGCCAACCAACTGACCTTATCCAAATGTCAAAAGCTTCATCTGCTTAGAATTAGCACTTGTTTAGAGGGAAGCTTGTTCATTTACGTTAAAGAAGAACTCTGGGAAAATAAAAAAACTTACCCTTGCAGTGGGGCTACCCCCGCACGGTAAGGGTTAAGTGTTCATTTTGTCTAGGGGGGCTCAGATAATGCAGATATACTCACCTGATCCTCAGTCCCATGGCAATCAGTGCCCATGTCTTTCCCCCATAACGCTTCACATTAAATATAACCACTGTATATTTCACTTGGATTAAAATGTATCATATCACATATAAGAAGAATCCGACAGCACTCCTTACTAGTATGTCCCTGGTGGGTGCTGTAGTGATTGCGGATGGCGCCGCTTCAGATTCAAATAGTAAAGTATGTCACTAGCACACCAGGGTTAAATCTTCTATACATGATCATTTCATTGATGCACACACATCTTGTCACATAGCAACATTTCGGGGCCACTCAGGGTCCCTTCATCAGGCATGAGTGGCCCTGAAACGTTGCTATGTGACAAGATGTGTGTGCCTCAATGAAATGATCATGTATAGAAGATTTAACCCTGGTGTGCTGGTGACATACAGTACTTTACTACTTGATATCACATATTAGCACACACCAACACGTTACCTTCAGAAACCGGCAAATATGTACAAACATTCTCACTGGACTCCTCCTTTCTACTTCTACATGCTCTCTCTCTCTCTATATATATGATTCTCTTCTACTTTTACTATCTCTTAGGGCCCATTCACATCAGATGCGTTGGAGCTAGGCTGGCCTTGTTTTAAATCAGCTGAGATCACACCACTACATTGCATTGGTGTGCGCTGAGAAAGAGTACCGCACACAGTCCTTTTTTTTTTTGTAGCTCAACATGGTGTGACTGGGTCGACGCATCAGTACTATACCTGTTATTGCACACTAGCAGCTGTGCGTTTAGTGCGGCTTGCTGGTGTGAATAGGCCCTTATGGAAGATCTCAGTTTTCCTCAATATATCTATTCTCTTATCTTTCCAATCTTCATACTTTTCTACCTAATTGCAAATCTTGATATTTTCTGTCTCTTTCTTGTTATTTCCATGGATCAGAGGTATCCAAATGATGGCCTTCAAGCTGTTGTGTGGTCCCATGAGGCATTGCAAGACTCTGGCAGTCACAGACATGACAGGAGTTGTAGTTTCACCACACATGGAGGGCCGAAGTTTGGCTACCCCTGTTCTAGATCCAAATAACCACTCGTCTATGTCTTCTCTAGCTACATCAGGTCATTGTTTTCTTATATCTGAAATCACTCCTGCTACCTTCTTCTCTTGCTCCTTCTCAGTATGTATACACATTTGCTGCCATGTGCATACCTTACCCTTGCACAAGGGCACTATTTATATTGGCAGAGAGTGGCACATCAACTCTGGAGGTTTCTGACAAATCTGGATGTTTGTTCATGTTTTCCGGCACACATTATAGGTACACTTTCTAATTGAAAAGCACATTTTTGATTGTCATATTCACTTCACTTGATACTAAACTCAGGAGTTAAATCTTCAAAATGCATTCAAGTACCTTAACTATTAACTATTTCAATACAAATGAGTAAACTAGTGTGATTGCATCCATCACTGGAGTGAGCTTGGAGAGGTGACTACTTTACAACACACACAGGGACCATGAGGAACAAAAGTAGCCCCCCTCCAGTTAATAGTCAAGGTAACTGAGTGCATTTTTAAAATTTGACTCCTAAATATAGTGTCACTTTAATGCTTCTTTACAATAGTGTGGAGGTTTAATGGGTAAAAGATTAACAAATGATCAAACTTGGAGCCAAATGAAAGGTTCAGGAATAAAGAATAACATACTGCAGGAGTCCATTCCATTTTCCTGTATTTCAAAAGGATAATTGTGTCTTCAATGCCATTAGACAAGCAGAACCGACATTCCTGATAACTTTGTTTTGTTCTTTGTTGTGAGTCCATTTAAGTGTTGTTTGTATCTTACTTTGTGCCAGTGAAGAGTGATACAATAACCGCACTTCAAGAGTCTTCACCAAGTATAAAAACATTTATTCCAAAATCATAGACAAACCGTCAACCCTCCAATGTGGACCACTTGTCACTAGTGCGTTTTACCCATCAGGCTTAATTATAGAGATCAGTTTTCATATTAAGCCCAATGGGTGAAATGCGTTAGAGGGAAGTGGTCCACGTTGGAGGCTTGACAGTGTGTCTATGATTTTGGAGTAAAAGTTTTTATACTAAGTGAAGACCTGTGGAGTGCAGTTATTGCATGGAATTTTGATATTGGCGCAGTGCCTGCACCTGGGAAACTATCAAGGTGGGGAGTCTGCGAGAATAGGAGCGGTGGTTTGTTTGCTATAGACTACAAGTGAAAAGTGAGAGAGATGTGACTCATTTACTATGACCACAAATTTTATAAAGTGGGCCCTGTTCTTTCCTATCTAATTCAGTCACCTAAAGCCAGTTCTACACTGCCATCAAAAGTGATATAGCAGAAAACAGATCAATGGTCCTCATGGCTGCTTTAATTCATCTGGATTTCATGGGTGTATTTAAAGTGGAACTGAAGCCAGAACTTGTTTTTAAAGTTTTGGATAGAGTAAGGGAGAGTCATAACCTCTGCCAGCTTTGGTTTACCATCTCGCATTTAAGAGAGTTCCCTTTATTCCTGTCTGAGAGTTACAACAGGAAATGAGAGGTAATCCCTCCAAAGTGGTGGGCACCAGTACACGTTTCCCCATTGGAAGATTTTACATCTGTTCCTGTTCTGATGACAACCCAAAATTTGAACAAATATAGAGGTTGAATCTCCCTAATGGGGACACAAACAGCATTACAAACATGACAGGGGTTGTAATCCCTCTCCAACATGTGCAAAACTAACAAAAACATGTTGGCTTCAGTTGCACTTTAAATTATAATTCTACTACATTCAAAATGATACATTTGCATTCTGATGCATTAGCTTTACAGATTAGAAGTTCTCTTTCTAACTCTGCCTCATCCTCTCTGCTCTGAGTACATTCTGATGTGCTCTGAAAGGGAGGCAGATTGCTAATGCAACTCATAGCAGAGAAGGACTTCCATCACCAAACAGCACCCTCTAGTGGTGGCCAAGATCAGCTTGTGTACAGCAAAGATGGAATCAAACACAAGGTCAGAGCTCCAGAAAATGTTACTCTTTATATTGCCATTTTCCTAGGCTGCAGGGAACAAACAAGTGCAGAATGTGTAAATGCGACAAATGTAAAAATGCATTTATACAGAAGTGGAATGAAAAGTGTAAAACATATTCCAATCCAGAGGTGTTCAATCAGCTGTCAGTTTGCCATTCTTTAAGATCCCGCACTGGTCTCTGTGGAAGTAGAGAACTAATAATGATAATAATCAGGTGACTTGTAGAAAACATATCACACACATTGTATGAAAGTAATATTTGCATTTGTTATTATATATATAACTGATTTTCCTCTTTGGTTTTACAGCTCAGAAATATGTACCAAGAGCCGTGCTTGTTGACCTTGAACCTGGGACCATGGACAGTGTACGGTCTGGCCCATTTGGACAGCTTTTCAGACCAGATAATTTCGTTTTTGGTATGTCCAACATTGTGTTTAGTGTGTAAACATGTCATTGAAAACAGCATACAGGGTATTTTACTGTTATTTGTATCAGTAAGTGCAAAAAATAGCTGTTGATTCCAGTGAGTGTTTACCTTCCTGTGCTCTGCCAGTGTTGACTGTTTATCACTTAGCATTGTTCCCAGTTCTTACTGTGGACCACCTCCCCCTAAGTTATGGAGATAAAGCGAAGGGGTTCTGAATTCCTAACATACTTCCTGTCCTAGGGGGACAACTCTACTCCTCCATAGTTACTGTATAGTGAGCGTTGTCACTCTTGGACTAGATATGTGTTACTGGCAGGGTCAGCAGGTGAAAAGTAAGGAGAAAAAAAAAAAAGAAAACAAATCCAGCCACCACATAGAAGAACTGCTGAGCTGCAATATATAACATTTTTGTTTTTAGGTTGAGATACATTTTAAAATTACACTAAACTCAGGAGGTAAATCTTAAAAATGCATTCAAGTACCTTAACTAATAACAAAAATGTATCCTATTTGTGTATCACTCGGCTGTAGATCTTCAAATCATCTCTGAATTGGTGCTGACACTGTCCTTCCTTCTGGAGGGTGGCTACTTTTGTTCCCCATGGTCCCTGTGTGTGTTGTAAAGTAACCTCTCTGCTCTGAGTACATTCTGATGTGCTCTGAAAGGGAGGCAGATTGCTAATGCAACTCATAGCAGAGAAGGACTTCCATCACCAAACAGCACCCTCTAGTGGTGGCCAAGATCAGCTTGTGTACAGCAAAGATGGAATCAAACACAAGGTCAGAGCTCCAGAAAATGTTACTCTTTATATTGCCATTTTCCTAGGCTGCAGGGAACAAACAAGTGCAGAATGTGTAAATGCGACAAATGTAAAAATGCATTTATACAGAAGTGGAATGAAAAGTGTAAAACATATTCCAATCCAGAGGTGTTCAATCAGCTGTCAGTTTGCCATTCTTTAAGATCCCGCACTGGTCTCTGTGGAAGTAGAGAACTAATAATGATAATAATCAGGTGACTTGTAGAAAACATATCACACACATTGTATGAAAGTAATATTTGCATTTGTTATTATATATATAACTGATTTTCCTCTTTGGTTTTACAGCTCAGAAATATGTACCAAGAGCCGTGCTTGTTGACCTTGAACCTGGGACCATGGACAGTGTACGGTCTGGCCCATTTGGACAGCTTTTCAGACCAGATAATTTCGTTTTTGGTATGTCCAACATTGTGTTTAGTGTGTAAACATGTCATTGAAAACAGCATACAGGGTATTTTACTGTTATTTGTATCAGTAAGTGCAAAAAATAGCTGTTGATTCCAGTGAGTGTTTACCTTCCTGTGCTCTGCCAGTGTTGACTGTTTATCACTTAGCATTGTTCCCAGTTCTTACTGTGGACCACCTCCCCCTAAGTTATGGAGATAAAGCGAAGGGGTTCTGAATTCCTAACATACTTCCTGTCCTAGGGGGACAACTCTACTCCTCCATAGTTACTGTATAGTGAGCGTTGTCACTCTTGGACTAGATATGTGTTACTGGCAGGGTCAGCAGGTGAAAAGTAAGGAGAAAAAAAAAAAAGAAAACAAATCCAGCCACCACATAGAAGAACTGCTGAGCTGCAATATATAACATTTTTGTTTTTAGGTTGAGATACATTTTAAAATTACACTAAACTCAGGAGGTAAATCTTAAAAATGCATTCAAGTACCTTAACTAATAACAAAAATGTATCCTATTTGTGTATCACTCGGCTGTAGATCTTCAAATCATCTCTGAATTGGTGCTGACACTGTCCTTCCTTCTGGAGGGTGGCTACTTTTGTTCCCCATGGTCCCTGTGTGTGTTGTAAAGTAGCCACCACTCCAAGATCGCTCCTGTGATGGACTACAATCTCAATTTCTCAAGACTACATATCCAATCATGCATTGCTTCCTACAAGCAATGATAATGTTACATTGTTCAGACGTTGAGTTGTAGTTCAGAAGGCAGGCTCTGTGAGTTGTGACACAAAGGGCTGTACTGTTGGTGTCACTGCATTGAGGAAGTACATCCAATGTACACTTGTGCATTCGGACGAACCTGCAAATCAACGGAATTCTGCTGATTCGGCGGTTCGTCTGAATCCGAATGAAGTAGGGCTGTGGAAATTAAAGATTCATTTCTCGATTAATCGTTAAACTTTTTGATTGATTCAAATTATTTTGATCGCTAATGAAAACACTCACCTCTCCGCCGGCTTCCGGGAGTCACGTCGGCGATCCGGACTCCTCCCCCATTCCCCAAATGGCTCCGTAGCTAACGAAGGCAAAGGGGGGAGGAGTCCGGTGACGTCAATGTCCGTGACGGCTAACGAAGGGAAGGGAGGAGGAGTCCGGTGACGCCGATGCCCGTGACGTCACCGGACTCCTCCCCCCTTCGTTAGCCGACGGTGCCACTTGGGCCGGTGAGTTTGCCCATGAAACTTTCTGCACGAGCGCCAGCCAAGGCATTGGCCTATACACATACAGCACAGCAATGAAGTAATAAAATGAACTAGGATCACACTAATCCAGCACGTTATTATTCTGAGTTTCCCCACTCAAGCGGTGGCCATATACACCAAGATCTACACCAAGATGGCGGCGCCCAACAGGCATGTGACATAATGCCAATGCCGTTCACGCATCAAGCGCCCCTCCTCCGGGATGATATGGCCGCCGAGCGTTCTTTTCTTTACAAGTGCGGTTTCGGATTCGGAGGTTCGTTGCCCTCAAATCCGAAATAGCATAAAAATGTGTTTCGTTTGACGAAGCGAATGAAAATGTTTTTAGTTTTCGTTCATTTCGTCCAAAGTGAATTTTTATCAGTTGCACATCTAATCCAATTGCCATCTTCAATGATTAAGTTTACACACTTCTAGATCTATATGGTTACCTGGAGTGGGAGAGAACTTCTGGAAATTGAATTTAGAAATGAACGTTTATTTTTAGCTTTGACCATAGATACCCTATAAAGAATCTAGAATCTTTTTTTATTGATGTGGCTAAATAATTGCTCTGCTTTTGATTGCAGGTCAGACTGGCGCAGGAAATAACTGGGCCAAGGGACATTATACAGAAGGTGCAGAGCTGGTCGATTCGGTTCTGGATATAGTCAGAAAGGAATGTGAACATTGTGACTGTCTGCAAGGCTTCCAGCTCACTCACTCGCTTGGAGGAGGAACAGGTTCTGGAATGGGGACACTTCTTATAAGCAAGATCAGAGAAGAATATCCAGATAGAATAATGAACACCTTCAGTGTAATGCCTTCACCTAAAGTCTCTGACACAGTTGTAGAGCCGTACAATGCCACCTTGTCTGTACACCAGCTGGTTGAAAATACTGATGAGACCTACTGCATCGATAATGAAGCTTTGTATGACATTTGCTTCCGCACCCTGAAACTCACCACGCCTACCTACGGAGATCTCAATCACCTGGTGTCTGCCACAATGAGTGGAGTAACCACCTCTCTGCGTTTTCCAGGCCAGCTCAATGCAGATCTTCGAAAGCTAGCTGTAAACATGGTTCCCTTCCCACGTCTACATTTCTTCATGCCTGGCTTTGCACCGCTAACTGCCAGAGGAAGCCAGCAATATCGTGCGCTCACCGTACCTGAACTTACCCAACAGATGTTTGACGCCAAGAACATGATGGCAGCATGCGACCCGCGGCACGGACGCTATCTAACAGTGGCCACGGTCTTCAGAGGGCCGATGTCCATGAAGGAAGTTGACGAGCAGATGCTGGCAGTCCAAAACAAAAACAGCAGTTACTTTGTAGAATGGATCCCTAATAATGTGAAGGTGGCAGTGTGTGACATCCCACCAAGGGGTCTGAAAATGGCCTCCACGTTTATCGGGAACAGCACAGCTATTCAAGAGTTATTTAAGAGGATCTCAGAACAGTTTTCTGCAATGTTCAGAAGAAAGGCTTTCTTGCACTGGTTTACCGGGGAAGGAATGGATGAGATGGAATTCACAGAGGCGGAGAGCAACATGAATGACCTGGTGTCAGAATACCAACAGTATCAAGAAGCTACATCCAACGAAGGGGAGGAAACTTTTGAAGAGGATGAAGAAATCATTCATGAGTGAAAGAGGGTATCATAAAAGTCCCATTAGGTGGAACAAAGATCTGAGAATTTGGATACCTTTCTGAAAGTGATGAAGGATAGAAAATAATGTGCCTGCGGGATATTATATTTGTAAGGACTAGATCTTGGTATCAGGATGTTTTTTTTTTCTGGAAAAAAAAAAAATCTGACGCTATATTTTACTGCCATTTTTAGAAAACTATCTCTGTACTTTCCCTTAACGTCTGTATTTAATGCAGTTTATGACCCTTGCAAATGTGATCCGGTTTAATAAAAAATAGAATGTCACATCAAAGTGTGAATTTATGCATATTAACATTATATAACTAGAAAGGGACTAGAACTGCGGTAGGCAAGCTCTGTACTCCAGCTGTTGTCAAAGTCCCATGAGGCATTGCAAGACTGACAGCCACCGGCCTGACTCCCAGAGGCATGATGGTATTTGGGTTACTACAGCTGGAGTGCTGAATTTGCCTACCCATGAACTAGAATGTAGACTAAAGCTGGCCATACATCTAAAGATCAGTCAGAAAAAGTGCAACAGATTCCTCCATCTACGCTAAACTGTGTGGATGGAGGAATCTCCCTCTGGGCCAAGCTTCAGTATCTTGCTAGTCGGCACCGCTGGCTCTCAAACTACCTGAGCAAAGCCTGCATCCAATCAGATTGTTCTGGTATTTTGAGAGCCAGTGGGGCTGACTAGCAAGATACTGAAGCTTGGCCCAGTGGGAGATTCCTCCATCCACACAGTTTAGTGTAGATGGAGGAATCTGTTGCACTTTTTCCATCTGACCATAGAAAATCTGCAGATAATCTATAGATGTATGGCCAGCTTTATTTCTGAAATAAAAGTGAAAATAGCAGTAAAATGTTTTCCACTTATAAGAAAGAGTAAACCCTGATTTAGATATTTCTGTGGACATTAGATAAGCTATATTTCACATTACATTGAGACCTAATCAGTAAAGTCAAACATGAATTCCACGCAAATAAATTCACTATACCTCTGTGCCTTTGTGGCTATGAGAGGTGCAGCTCCTACACACGGAAGCCACGGTGTTGTTTGTCCGCCCCGCCTTCCACTTGCCTATTCACAAGACACTAAAGGTGCCCACACACCTTGCGATAATCGTACGATAATCGCGGGAAATCCCGCGATCGTACGATTATGTGTGGAAGCCGTGCGACCTCTACTACTGTAAGGTCGCACGACTTTTATCTTAGGAACATGTTCGAAAACCCGACGAGCATCGTACGATATTCGGCGGGTGTGTAGCATGTTCGTAAGATAAAAGCCGTGCGACCTTACAGTGGTAGAGGCCGCACATTGCCCATTCGGCATTGCGGTCATCGGAAGCCCGCCCCTCAGGGGGGCGCGGCTTGCGATCATCGCAAGTACGATCTGCCTGTCCAAGATGGGCAGATCGTACGTTTTTTTAATTACCTTACAACCATCGCAAGACAAAAGTCTTGCGATGGTTATAAGGTGTGTGCCCAGCCTTACACACTGGAGCAGCTGCACATAGTAACCAATCAGCTTATATCTTCAGCTTATACTGTTAAGCTTAAAAAATGAACGCTAGTAATTGATTGGTTGTTATGCACAGCCGCTCCAGATTTGGTCTGTTCCCGGCTTGGGAAATTTCCCCTCCTTGTATTCTGTGAATGATCCACAGAATACAAAGCGTTCTGTGAATTGGCAAGGGGAGACAAAGGGTAGACATTAGACATGTGCACTGGCAAAACATTTGTTTTGATTCGGATTTTGTGTTATTTTGTTTTTCGTGATTCGAGTGTAAAAGTCAATTCGGATTCGGAATTCAGACAAAATTCATTAGCGGTAGTTCGTTCGAACGCTCGCTTCTTATTCGTTTCGTTCATTCTTTGTAGCAAAGTGACTTTTAAGGGGGGAGGGGGGGGGGGGAGTGTTTTTTTCCTCC